GTTGTAGGATAGGGGAGTTTGGGGAGATGAGGAACAGATGGGAAGGAGTATTTGGCTGGGAGGGGGGAGGGGATTGGCCCCTGGAGAGGAGAGAGAGGCAGAGGTGGAAACCCAGCACTCTCCTCAAGCCTCCTCGGCTGATAAGGCGGGTAGGGTGAAGCTGGCTGCATGGGGTAAGTGGAGGAAATAGGGGGAGAGTGGGTGCTGGAAGTGGGGTGAGGTGGAAGTTGAGAGTTTCTTTATGCTGTATGGCCTGTCTTAATTCCCAGCTAGACTGCTGGTGCCTGCAGCTGAGCTGGGGAGAGCAGATTGCACAAGGGTTGGTGGGAGATAGGGGGTGGGTGAATGTTGGCATCTGTGCAGTGAGGTGGAGGTGGCGGAGGCGAGGAGGGGATGGAGGAGTTTGCTCAGGGTGTCCTCCTGACTCACTTGCTGCATTCCAGATTGCAGTCCTCTCTGTCCATCTCAATTGGAGGGAGGGGTAAAACTATGGTGTGTGTGTGTGTGTGTGTGGCAGGACATTTGCATGAATACATTTTAAACAAAGTTTACATACGTGTAAATGTCTTAAGATAAGAAAGAAAAAGATTTTTACAGAATTTACTCTGATCTTAATGATTTTTTAAAAATCCTGTGTTACTAATTAATACACAGTATATTGTATTGCATTAAAGGCCAGATCTTTGCTATGTGGTAGACTTCTGGCTCTTATGAATCAGAGGTAGCACGTACTAGGTGTGATGCTAGTTGTTTTGTAGGAAATCTTATTCACAAGCTCTTTTGAAACACGCACCTGTTTACAAACCCTGAAGCCATGAGTTAATTTGTTCTGAGGCTCCTACTCTTTGAGTTGGTGACACACACAAGGTGACAGTTTCAAACCAGGAGAACTTTTATCTGTTTTAACAGGTTTCTGTTTCACTTGTTTTTGTATAGCAAATTATTCCCCAGATAAACTATATAAGCCTGAGTGAATGACTTTTACTCTCCTTTCCAGTGTCAGTGAATATTGTATTAGTATTTGCAAGGACAGAATGACTATTTCTAGTGGACTCATGCATTTGTTCAGCATCTTAAACTTGAGGTGTGTGCATAATATGCATTTTGATGTGTTTACTAGCTTGAGTTGTTACAAAGGTTGATAATCAATGTACTCCAAGGGTAGTGTTCATTTTCTTTTTATTTGATTTCATATTAAATAAACATCGTAAGCATTGCTCCTTGTTAACTATCCTTTGTTTTAATATATTTTGTTACACACCTGTGACCTGTTTAAAATATATATTAATAGCTAGGTTTGTTTGTTTTTATTGGTGGTGCACATCCACACACTACCTCAATATTCATGCTGCACATAAAAAATTTCAACCTTTCCAAGGACAGAAAATGTTAGAGGGAATATTGGCTTCTCCACTCAACATGAACTGGGGCATGACTTCCAGAATGGGGAGACGAGCTGCCCAACACAGGCCTTAGCTCGGTTTCAGCCCTGTCCTTCCTCTTACAGGGAGAGAGATCAACCCTTACTGGCCTTACTAACTTTCCTGGTCAGAAGCGCAGATGGGGATCAGTGCTGATTAGCTGATAGCACTGCACACCAATGCCTCGGTGCTGAGTGCCAAGTCAGACCTCTGCTCCAGTGCTAGAGTGAGCTCCAGTTCCCTTAGGAGTGTTCTAAGTAATTTCTCACTCCTTAGTCTTTGGCTTATAAGACTTACAAATGCAACACTTGCCACTTATGTTCCCTTTACCCAGGTTCCTAAGACAGCAACTGTGTGGGTCACTGACAGGCACAGGACATTCTCAGCAATCGTAGGGTTTAAAGCCTGGCAGGATTAACACACTGATTACTGCTAACACAAACTATTTACATTAATTTTACGAAGTTTCTCTGAATGAAGCCTGAGCAATTCTAGAGCAGTGAACATTTCACGCATTGTCACTGGCAGCAAAGGAACTGAGGGTGGGAAGAGTGTGCGGGTACCCTTTATACTGTGCCAGGAGGGTGCCACAAGAGCCGCCACTCTATGGATACTGCTGAAGGAAAAAA